AAAATAGGTGTTTGATGTTTTTTTGTTATCATTTGAGGTGACTAAAATTTTATGAAGTTACCATTTTAAATCATCTCATTAGCTGTCATTACAAAAAGCTATCGACCAATGATTGTTTGATACGTGAAATTAATTTTTTTAAATAAAAAAATTAAATTCCAAAATTTTTAAAAAAATACCCTAAATTTTCTAATTTCCTCAAACTCCTCCCCATATCTCTAAATCTCCTTAAAGATTTGTGTTCAGGCGGTGAGCGATGATTGGTGATTTGGGCAGCTTGATTTTAGTTCGGAAATCGGTGTAGACTCGCTGACAATGATGAACAGATGATAATTCGATAAAAAAGCAATTTTTCTAATGTGAAATTTAGGGACAACGTGCGATGATGTACTATTTCAAACAACAATGTGTGACGACAACGGGCGACTAACCAGTGGGAATCTGATGACACAAAGATTGACTTGTGATGACTGATTCGATGATGAGATATGGATTTAGGCATTTGGGTTTAGATAGTTTGGATAATTTAAGGATTTAAAGATTTTTTTATAGAAATATAATGATTTTAATTTTTTAAAATAAAATTAAAAGAAATTAAAAGAGCATGTTATGTGTCAAGCACTGGTTGAATAATAATAAAAATTAATAATCGTTAACAACCAGACACTTTAAATGATAACTTTAAAATGTTAGGCACCTAAAGTCAATATGATACTTATTTATCAATTAAGCCTTTATTTTATTAAATTATTCCTAAAGTTATCGTCAAGGTTAGGCTTTTGTTAAGGTTAGTAAGTTCTGTTTCTATGTGGTTAAGGTCAAGGATTCTGTCGATGGATTCCTCTGATTTATCGACAATTCATGAACGACCGAGTTCTCAGGATACTTTTTTTTTTGTTCTCTCGATTTTTAAGATTTCGTCTTGATTAATTAGGGATGATCATGGGTCGGGTTGGGTTGGGTTGAGTCGGGTTTTTGGTCCACCCGACCCGAGAACAAAGAAATCTCCACCTGATACCCGACCCGACCAAAATAAAGTTTCACCCGACCCGACTCAACCCGAATATATGAATTAGAAACCCGACCCGACCCGACCAGAAATAATAAAAAATATTTTTATTTAATAAAAACAGTGACTTATTGAAAAAATTATATATATAGGGTATTATTGTAATTATTCCTAAATATATAAGGTAAAATTATATATATTTTTTCGGGTCGGGTATTTTTCACCCTAAACCCGACCCGAATATCAAACTTAAAAAATCCGACCCACCCGAACCCGAAATTTTTTAAAAAATCTGACCCGATTCCCGAATTTTTTTGAAAAAAACCCGACCTGAATATCACACTTACAAAAACCCGACCCAAATATTAAATTTTAAAAAACCCGACCCGAACCCAAATTTTTTTAAAAAAAATCCGACCAATCCCAAATTTTTTTTAGAAAAATCCGACCCGAATACCAAAAGATTGATGAGGGTAGTATGGTCAAATTTTACATTCCCTTCTCCAAAGGATTTCAATTTCATCATGTTATGGATGAAATTTATTTTCCCTCCCTTGATAGAATTAGATTCAAATTCCCCTTTGAAAACTTGAACCAAACATAGGAAAGTGGTGGAATTGGATTCTAATTCCCTCTAATTTTAAGGGATTTCAATTCCCCCTAATACTAAGAGATTCCAACGAATTAAACGCCACCTAAGACTTCAAATAATTCAAAGAAAATAAAAATTAAAGTGATTATTTGATCACAATTTTTCATGATGTCTATTATAAATTGGTTAAGTATTTTCAATATACATGGATGATTGATATACATGTGGTAAAATTAGGGATGGGTGTGAGTTAGATTTTTGGTCAATTCGATTCGATCCGACCCAAAAATTATATATCATCTATTCGATTCAATCCAATCTAAAAAAAACATACACCCTCCACTTGATCCGAACTCTATCAGACTTTTTGACATAAAATCCCAACCTGACCTGAAATAATATATTTGTTAACAAAATATTATTTATATTCAATAAAAATAAAGATTTAATTAAAATAATATATAGGGATATTATTATAATTATTTTTAAATATATAAGGTAAAATCATTTTTTTTGGGTTGAGTCGGATTGGATAATTATCACCTTGAACCCAAACCCAACTTGACCCGAACATAATCTTTAAAAAATATCGACCTGGTATGTTTCAAACTCGATTTTTTTTAAATCTAACTTGATTAAATCGAATCAGGTCAAAACCGGATTCAGATCCCGTGCTATCCCTACGTAAAATTAAAGAAAGAAAAGGGCATGAGATATTTAAAACTTGCACAGTTAAGGCAAGCGAAGGTGAGGGAATAAAGGAAAATCAAAAGGACAAGCTGAATCCACGTACCAAAGAAGCAAGCAGGCAGCCCATTCTCCCGCATCCAAACTTGAGGTTCTAAACCAACCACCGTTCTCCCTTACCCTTTAAGCCACTCCACTAATGATTTGCATTTAATAGTACCCTCTCTCCTGCTCTTTTTTATAATATAAAAGTTTTTTATTATATAAAAGATGTAATTGTTTATTTAGAGTTTAATTGTTTGAACATAATATTTTAAGATAGTATTTACTCATAATCTTTCTTATAACAACACGTAACTACATATATAATTTAAAATTTTAAAAGAGAATAACACTCTTTTTTAATCACTAAAAATACTAGATGAGTTCATCTCCTCCTAGATTTTCTTTATACATCAATTAATGGTGGAATATATCTATATATTTTCGTGACCACATAACTATATGGTATAGGCATTACTGTAATATAACACAAGATGGAGTATAGAAAGTGAGGAAGCTTAATGATGTGTATTTAGCCACACTAGCCAACTTTATTGAGCTTTGGTAGTGTCGGTGGGAGCCATGCATTTATCTCAATCTCAAGGTCCAAAACCCTCCAACGCCACCATCTCCTTTTCACTTGAATGGGCAATGAACAACTCCTCTGCATTCCCAACCCAAGGAAGAAAAGAATTCGAAAATGAAAGCTTAGGGAAAGATAGGGATCATCAACCCGAAGCACCTCGTTTCGAGTGGGATTTTTCTCTCTCCACCGTCGTCTCCTCCGGTGCCAATGCCGCAGTCTCCGACGCTCTCGGCGTCATCGAATTCGACCCTTCTAATACCTTTGTAGCGAACGGAGGGATCGCGAGAAAGATTAGGATTTACGATTTGAAGTCTTTGTTGCCACATGATGACATCCAAGTATGCCACAGTGAGTGAAATGATATAGCCTTACTAGACCATGTTAATGCATGTCGCTATTACATATGTACCCCGGCTAAGCTCAGTAGCATTAGATGGAAACCCGGGTCCGGAGGGAGGCTTCTCGGATCGGGAGACTACGACGGGGTGGTCACTGAATATGATCTTGAGAGGAAGCTGCCGGTCTTCGAACGCGACGAGCACGGTGGGAAACGGGTTTGGAGTGTGGACTATTCGCATTGGTACACATTCGTCGGGGCATCCGGCTCGGATGATGGCACCATGCAAACGTGGGACGAACGATGTGGCAGCGGTGTATGTGTGGCTAAGGTTCAGCCATCAGCGGCACGTAGCTCCGTCTGTTGCGTCGAGTTCAACCCCTCCGGTGACTCACTGATAGCCATCGGATGCGCCGACAGGAAGGCGTACACCTACGATGTTCGGACAATGGATGCGCCATTACATGTGTTCGAAGGGCATACGAAAACCGTGACATACGTTAGATTCCTCGACACCGGAACAATGGTTTCAGCCGGAACCGATGGGTGTTTAAAGCTATGGAACATAAGCGATTCTCGTTTGATTAGAACATACAAAGGACATAAGAATGGTCGAAGCTTTGTTGGGCTGTCGGTTTGGAGGTATGGTGGCTTGTTTGGATGTGGGTCAGAAAATAACAAAGTGTTTGTTTACGATAAGAGGTGGGACTAACCCATCTGGGTACGTGGGTTCAAGCCAATGGTTGGAGCCGGGTTTGACCAGGGGTTCGTCAATAGCGTATGTTGGAGGCAAGTCCAGGAAGACAAGTGCACAGTTTTGGCAGGGGGTTCCAATGGGGTTTTACGGGTTTTTGTTGGCACAAAGAAATCATAGGTCGTCATTATTGGTTTACCATTTTTTACCATGTTACCAAAGTTTTTAACTTTGTACTTGTGGATTGCTATTGATTCAGAGATATTTCAAAGTCTGAACATTCATTTTCATTTATACGAGGATATCGTAATTAAATTTTAAATTTTTATATAATTTTTATATTTTTTATATTTTTTTATTAATGATTTAATATTGTATATCGTAAAATTTTATAAATTTGTACTCCTTCATAGTGAAATGAACAAATTCCATCCACTGGTTGCCTCATATAACATTTACAATCTATATTCCAAACTCAATCTCTAAAAACAATTAGTAGCTAAACGTTTCGAGAACACTGGGTTTGAATACGTTTAAATTTTTTTTAAAATTATTATTTATTTCTTTTCTTTAGACAAAAAATTGCAGAGCTTGTGAAATGAAAACCAAAACATGTTCCAAAATAAATATAGGGCTATTTAACTATAGAAGAAAAAATGTTTATATACGTCAAAGGTCCCTATATTATTTCAAAATTTAAAACTTAGGCTTCATAATTTTTGTAAAATTAAGTTCATGTTTCATTTTTTTTATTTAAAAACGCTAAAAACATAAATTGCATCATTAATTATTGATCTATTTATCTCTAAAAAAAGATAAAACGATTGAAAATTTGTACTATCCAATTAATTATAATTATTTATTTAATTTTATTAATTTGTCTTTTTATAATAATCATGTCAATAATTAAAAAAAAATAAATTTTACAAAAGTTAGAGAAGATCAGAATTTTTAAAAATGTATATAAAAAAACTCAATTTTCATAAAAATAAAAATTATAAAATGATATAAAAATCTCTTACAAAATCAACCTACAGAACCAATTGCAATTTCAATAGCAGAATTGTCCATAAAGTTGTGGTATGGCAAAATTTGTTTAATGAACAAAAATTGTTATTACAAAACTATTTTTGTTTTCTTTTGAAGATATGCATGCGTTGGCAATTGAACCAACCTTGCGTAGACCATATGGCTTAAGCCTTGATCCTTGATGACTCTCCGACTACTTTCTCCATTCTAGAGTACCACTCTCCAATTCGAGTGTGTTTCACCATATCTCTACCGGATCTTAGGTATCGTATAGGTCTTAGCACACCGAAGACGGCAAGGTCAGCTAGATTAGGTCTGGATCCGCCTACACAACGAGAATTGGAGAAAAACTAACAATTACCCTTCAAAGACAATAGGATAAGAGAAGTAATATGACAATCTTTAAGATAGGTTAATTATATTGTACCATTTCAATTAAATTGCAACCCCACCAAGGAAACTTGCCAACCTCAAAATTGTCTATATATATAAAGATGTAATGTGTAAAATGCATGTCATCATTATCAATCAGTGACTTGCATATTCATATGCATTATGAGCTGATCTCTGATAACTGTATTCACTGCAGATATAAATCATACCGAGAAAATTTCGACCATTTAGAGCGTCCACCCATGTTTCTGCTGCTTCATACAAGGCAGCACGCTCATCAGTTATGTTATATTTCTTCTTTAGATTCTTGGACACAAAATACATGGCTGCAGCTCCAGCGTATTTCACTGTTATCTTCTCAGTGAAACTGAAGTTACCAGCAGTTAAGAGGAAAGTAAAACATGAACATCAAGATTAGCAACTAGAACCCAATGTCGGTACCGATTGAATAGAAAAGAAAAAATCCAAGCATAAAAAACAATCTATGGTAAAAGAAAAAGCAGCTGAAATCCTCAAAGAGATCTTTCTAAATTAAAAATGAGGACTATATCAAAGTAAATTAACAAGAGTTCAAACAAATTAGAAAATGCCATAATCACAGACTTGCATACGGAAAAATACAATGGCAATTTGATTATATAGATCATCCAGTAAAAGTTGCATTCTATGGAACCCCATTATCAGAGTAGCATCACTGGGAATGTGATAGGAAGAGTAGCTGACAGTAATAATTGAGGTTAGGTAATTCACAATTCGTGTAATTAACAATTCTGTACAAAGCAAAATTCTTGTGCTCATGAAGAGTTCTAAACACAAATTATTGTTAATAGGTTATTAAAAATGAATTTCAGAGAACAAATAATTAAGAGTGGAATCATACATAAATATGCTTATAGAAAATGCATTGGGCTCTTGGTGGGGGTGAAATCCCGCTGAACCGCGTACATCAAGCAGAAGCTCATACTCTTTCAAGCATTTATTTTGTACTAAGAGCCCCGAGTTAAATTTAAAGTATCGAGTTACTAAACCCCAACTTCATCTGCATTTATGGATAACATCCAAATTTAACACTTAAGGTGATAGCAACTAGTGGCAGTTAATAAGTCATTGGCAGCAATTAGTATTACCTGGTGGGAAAAGGTGTTGATAGAAGTTATCTAGCTAGCAGATTACCTTGAATATAGAGAGTCCTAAACTGTGTTGAATAAATATGAATGAAAATACCTATGTTCCTCTCTTTCTCTTTTCTCTCTCAATTACCCTTTCCCTTGAAACCCCACCAAGCCAGCAGGTTCAGAAGCTGTTCTCTTCATCAGCTTCCCTACCTTGCTAGCCATTAAACCACTTATCACTTGAACACATACTAAAAAAACATAGGACATCGTTTGAAGAATAAATGAACCTAGACATATCTAAATTCCAAACGTCTTCTATCCATGCACATTTTCTACTGTTTCACATCTTCAATTCCCAGAAAATTGACTGAAAAACTCTATTTGACGTTCATTGTTGGAAATGATAATGTTGCTTATTTAATGTATTCAGACGAAAATATCACTTCCTACATAAAAACTGAAGCAGAATTGTCTCCAAAGCTAATTGGCCTTTAAAATGTTGCAATTTGCTTAGGAAAGTACATAAGAATTCGTAGGCATTTCAAAAACATTTCAATTAATGAAACACGTATAGAAGCTACATAATTGATAATTCTTATGATCCGTAAATAGATAAATTACTTGTTTGCTACTTATTAAAGGACCTATGTAAAACATAGTGGTTGACGTAATTATTCCCATGTTTAGGGGTAAATGGATTGATCGTTGACTAAAACTAATGTGAAAGCAGCAAGGTTTGTAAAAGAAGGGAAGGGAGCTACATGTATATAATATAAAACTATGAATTAATTTACCATTGCTAGTGATGTAGTCGAAAGACTCAAGAGCCTCAGAAGTGTTGCGGTATATGTTTGGGGATAAGACATGCACCAAGTGGCTGTCAACCCACCTACATAAGGACATCATTATTAGTGTTCCAAAGAGGAAGTACTTATTCTAAAAGCAGCTATAGCAAAAGGAAGACTATGACTTGCACTAATGAAGCAATATGTATTAACCAAAGTGATCATCAATTCATATTTCATAGCAACTCAGAGACAAGAAAAAATGGCCTGTGTATAGTTTGGTACACACATAACTCTATATACTAACAAGACTACTTGCATATATATGCTCATTTTATATCTTGATACTTAACATCTTTGCTAAGCATATAAATTTCATGTTTGCATGCATGGGATTTAATTAAAAAGACAATTAATGTAAAGAGTTCTACAAATTATTTAGTTTTGTCAGAGGGTAAATAACTGATGTTAATTTCTGATCATTCAAGACCAGATAAATAACTGATGTCAAATTCTATGCATATAGACGTCATGTTTGCATGCATGGGATTCAATTAAAAAGACAATAAGTATAAATAGTTGTACAAATTATTCAGTTCTGTCAGAGGGTAAATAACTGATGTCGAATTCTGATCATTCAAGGCCAGGTAATAAAATATTAATAGGAATGCTAGGAGCAATCAACCAAATATTCCAACAGTTAAAAGGCCCATATTTCACATATTAGACCTGAAACATGTTATAAAAAATTCCAGTAAAAACTTGTTTGCTGCACAATAAAATTCTAAGTTCGGTTTAGATCTTATCTCTAAAATGCTATACGAAAAACACTAAAAAGTCCTTTATACACTACTTGTTAATCATGGTTGACGGGTTGGTATTCTAAGAGCATAACATTTTTACACTATTTTGAATGTATTTCATGCTAAACTTCATCCAGATTATTTTAAAAGTCTAAGATCAATTAAAAACACATATATAAACACCAAAATTTAGAGCACTGTGCATCCACATAGTTTTCTCAATACCTTAGCTAGATGAAATGATTCTAATAAGAAATAAATAGCTTTATAGTACAAGTAGCATGGGTTCAACCTTATAAACTGAATCCTCCTTAAGAATTTAACAAATGCTAGATCAAGATTAAGTTCTTAAGTACTAAATAATATTTGTGGTGATATAGCAAAATTGGAAATCTAATTACAATGAAAACAAGACAGTCCATACCTACGCCATTTTGTTTCTTCGTCTTCATCAGAAACTGAAGTCTTTGTTTTCTCAGGAAGGATCTTTTCACCCAATTGGTTAATTATAGCTGCATTTTCCACATGCAAGTTCAGTCAATCATAGCAACTAACAAGCTTAAATAAAGTCAATAACTTAAACAAATAGATAGGTCCTTAGGGCTAATATAAGTATCCAATGAAAACTTAGACTATTAAGAGTTTTGATAATAAGAACCTGATGAATCCACCAGCTGTTGACCATCAACCATCAGTATAGGCACCTTCTTGTAATCAGACCACTTGATCTCTTTCTTACTAATGGGATTGACTTCCACCACCTTGTACGGTAAATTATAGTAGTCCAAGAATGCTGAGAAACAATGACGGATCATGAAATTATTAAGATTTTAATTAGTTGTTTTCATACTTAAGATATAGGCTTTCAACTTCCTAAAGTTGTTAAGAATCCTTCTCTCCATGGTAGTTGTTTTTGCTGCTATATATACACACACACACGCACACACGCACACTTCCTTTAAGTTGTTAAAGCCTAGAATCTATAAGCCAAAACATATCTAATATTAATGTTTCATCAAAGAAAAAAATGCGTTTGTTATTTTTTTCAGTTTCTAATTCTTCGAAAGAATCAGTTTCTCCATGTTAGTGGCTTTTGCTGCTGTCATAACCGGTTTTCGCCCGGGCACGAATTTTTTCTTGGCGGGAAAAATGATATGAATAAATTAATAATTTTGATTTTTTTAAAAAAAAATATTTTGGGAGTCGCCATCGGCCTTTTGGGTTAGGTAGGTCGAATACCTAAAAAATCATCTTTTAAAAGAGTTTTTAAGAAAACATCGATTAAAAGATAATATGATCAACGTTTTAACCAAAAATTCATTCTTTTTAATAATAAAAAGGGATTTGTGGTCGGTTACGTTTAGGGAAGGATTAGCACCCCTACAACGCCCAAAATTGGTACTTTTTAATTATAAATTGTCTCTATTATTAGAAAAAATTCAAAGATATATTTAATTTATAATTCTATTTAATTTAAATTTATTACAATACTTTTAAGAAAATATATTAATATATACCTTTATTTTTATAAATAAGACATTTATTTACTTAGAAATATTAGAAAATGGATTCTAGTTGATTTAAGACAGCTCTTTTCTTAATATTAATAAATAAATAAATGTTAATAAAATATTTATCTAAAAATAATTAAAATATATTAATATATTATTTATAAAAATAGGTCATTTATTTATTTAAGAATATCAGAAAAGGACTTTTAGGTATTTTAAGACAACTCTTTTCTTAGATATTAAAAAATAAATACATATCAAAATATGTTTATTTTTCTTAAAAGTAATTTATAAAATTAAATTTATAAATAGGATTTTTATTTAATAAATAAATAGAATAAATAAATAAATATTATATAAATATATTTATATAACTTAATAATAATAATAAAATAATCATGAAGATAATAATTTAAACATATATTAAACGTAATAATAAAATAAAATAATAATAATTAAAATGAAAGAAATTAAAAGTAATAATATTAAAAACTAATGGATCATATTCATAAATATATGAACTTAAAAATGTAAAAATAATAAAACTTATGGTTAAAATTAAGATTATATAAAATTTAATGATCAAATTATAAAATATAAATATTTAAGAGACATGGTTAGAATTATCATAAAATATAAATACTAGTAGTGTAATTAACCATTATTTATTTAATCGGTGATTAAAATAGAAATATTAAAATTATTAGGGACTAAATGTGATATTTATCCTAAATATATTATTTAATACTGGTAAGGATTAAAACATAATAAAATAAAATTCGAAGACTGAATTAGAACATTCAGAAGTTAGTTTCAGTGACTAAAATGAATAATTATAAAACTCGGATGGCTACGGAAAGGGTTTAGCCATACATGTAAATTACGCATATACCCCTTCCCAAAACGACGTCGTTCGGGAAGGGATATATATACCCCTTCATAGCTGGCCCGAAGGGCCAGCAGCCTCATTCTTCTCTTCTTCTTCTTCTCTCAAAAACGAGAGAAGAAGAAACTCTCTTCTTCTCTCTTAATTTCCCTCACCGGAGGGAACACGGTCTCCGACCGGCAGCCGCACTCCGACGTCGAACACCGCCACCGACCACCGTCAACGGTGGCCGAAATTTTTTTAAAATACCCTAGGATATAAATCTCACCGTTCTAAGGCCGAATCCGACATCTATTCTCCCCAAAAGTCCCTGGAATTTCCTAGATCTAAGAAAATACCTTCGGTATTTTTGGTACTTCGGCGATGTTTGGTGTTCTTCGGTGGTTCTGCTTCCTCGGTAAGGGTTTCTCCTCTCTTTTCTCTCGATTTTTTTTCTGGTTGCTTCGTTGTTGTTGACTGGGATGTTTGGTATATTTTTTTTGCTCTTGTTTTTGTTTTTCTCTGGTTCTTCCTTTTTTTTCGTTTTGCAGGATCCGGTGGCTTTTATAGCCACCACGGAGCCATGCTCGGACCGGTCCAGAGGGGGAAGTTCGGTGAGTCATCGAGCTATGTGGTGACTCACCCCATAGCCGCGACGTGTGGGGGGGGGCAGCTGGCTTCTGGAGGCTTCTGGCGAGGCGGCGGCTTCGTGGCTGTAGCGGGTTCGAGCATCTGGCAGCTGACCGTCGGCAATGGTCTCTGGAAGCTGGAGAGGCGGCTGCGGCGCTAGGGTTAGAAACCCTAGCTGAAACCCTAAATGTTTTAGGGTTTCTGGTTAGTCTGGGTCGGTTCTGTTTTGTTTGTATCTGGGCCGATCCAATTTTCATTGGGTCTGTTTGTAAATAATAATTATTTAATAATAATATAATATATATATAATAATAATAATATTTAATAATAATAATAATAATAATTTTAATAATAATTTAAGTAAAATGAAAAATTGGTGTTTACAACTGCCCCTTTTTGCTCATTCTTGTTTTAACAAGAATAGAGCAAAGAAGAAAAAACAATAATTTTTCATTTGACTTCTTTTGAGTAAAACTGAAATGTTGAAAACATCATTCCAGAGGTCTTAAAAACATCATGCACTGCAGGACTTACGGATGACCCTAAGGTTTTGAAAACATCAAAAAGCTTCCGAAGGCTTTTTGGAAACATCATGCACTGCAGGACTTACAGATGACCCTAAGGTTTTGAAAACATCAAAAAGCTCCCGAAGGCTTTTTGGAAACATCATGCACTGCAGGACTTACTGATGACCCTAAGGCTTTGAAAACATCAAAAAGCTCCCGAAGGCTTTTTGGAAACATCATGCACTGCAAGACTTACAGATGACCCTAAGGCTTTGAAAACATCAAAAAGCTTCCGAAGGCTTTTTGGAAACATCATGCACTGCAGGACTTACAGATGACCCGAAGGTTTGAAAACATCAAAAAGCTCCCGAAGGCTTTTTGGAAACATCATGCACTGCAGGACTTACAGATGACCCTAAGGCTTTGAAAACATCAAAAAAACTCCCGAAGGCTTTTTGGAAACATCATGCACTGCAGGACTTACAGATGTGGGAAATAGTTTACTAAGTAAGAAACTATGAAAATCGTTTTCTTACTTTTCAACAATTTCATTTTTAGAAAAGATTGAATGAGAAACTATGGAAATCGTTTTCTCATTATTTTTCAAAATAACATGTTGATTGGGTAACATGCCCCAATCTTAAGATAAGGCTGTTAGAAATAGTTTACTAAGTAAAAAAACTAAGAAAATCGTTTTCTTACTTTTCAACAATTTCATTTTAGAAAAGATAAAATGAGAAACTATGAAAATCGTTTTCTCATTCTGTTTTTTGAAATAACATGTTGATTGGGTAACATGACCCAATCTGAAGATAATGCTCATTTTTGTGGATTGCGTCCATCTCTTCTTCAGATGTTTGTATGATTCCTGTATTTGTGGTTTTGAATACCTTCTTTGTGTAAGGTATTTTTTTACCATGAATCTTCTTGTTCTTCCGAAGATCTGTAAAACTTTATGTTTGAATGCACTCAGATGTATCAATGTAATGCATTGTCTATTGTGTAAATGATATTCTTATGAATGCATGAATGTTGATGCAATCTTCATTTGACTTCAAAGTGGTGAACTTGGTCTTCCTTCACTTCATCATTTATTGTCAGGGTTATCTCTGGATATCAGTGTAGAAACTTATGCTATCAGACTTGCATTTCTGAAGAACCATCTGATCAACTTGTATCTTGGCATCTTCTTAACTTCATTTAAGTCTCAGAAGAAATGTTTCATTTGTGGAACTCTTGCTGTAGTCAAAATTTTGACCCTGATACCCCATTTTGTCTTGAATAAAACCAACTTTCTTTGCTTGGAGTTGTGCAGAAATCCGATAAAGCTTTCATCTTTGAAAAGAGAATCTGTCATCTTTAAAAAAGGGAATCTATCATCTTTGAAGAGTGTAGATGTAGATATGCCTGACTCAGCAGGAATTAATTAGGAGAGTAGAATCAGTTCTAATTTGACTCTTGAAACATATCACAAAGAGGAATTAATTATTGCTGCTGGGGATAAAATGCACATGATAAAACCCAATAGATGGAAAATCAGTTCATCTTGGCTGGCAATGATGACCCCAGTAACAACGGGAATAACAGTAATGTAAGTGAGTCGAGTCTCCATTCCAATGTCATCAAGCAAGTAAAAACTGATGTGAAAAATAGCTTCATAACCCCAACAGTATGGTTAAAACTAACTGCCAAGAACCTCAAAGAAATATTTTCAATTATCACAAACACACAAAAGGCCAAATTCAAAGCTGAGATCTTAAGGAACTGAACCCTGGATCGAGTAGTTTGCCTGGGGACCATCTTTATCCCTGCTGGGTAGATATTTGTTCAACAATAGGACCCTGATGTAAGTGTTTGATGAATGAAGCAATTATGTATAGTCAGCTCAACTGTCACTGTTTTATCATTTTCATTCTTCATATCTTTCTGTCTCATTGGAAATATCTGATCAAGTCAATGATTTTTAACACATGATGATGTGGGCCTTCAGCATGCCCCAGCATTTGCTGATACGAACGTTCAAAAATGCATCAACAATCCTAATTCTGATTGAAATGGGCTTTCAGCATGCCCCTATATTTGCTTCTTGTTAATCTGAGCCTTCAAAATGCCCCGCATGGATCTGTCTGAAGGAACCTTTAAAATGCTCCAACATTTGCTGATACAGATGTTAAAAGTGTGTTGAACATTACTTCTTGTTGAGATGAGCCTCCAAGAATGCACTAATATTCTATTTCTGGTTGAAATGGGCCCTCAAGATGTCCCTCTAGATCTGTCTGAT